CTCACCAGAAACCCAGCCTAAGGAAGCCTGCAATTGAACAGCTGTCCCTCCTCCTCCTCCCCCCTCACTCCTTAAGAAAGCGCTTTCATACCCAGCTATACAACCTAAGGAAGCCTGCAATTGAACAGCTGTCCCTCCTCCCCCCTCACTCCTTAAGAAAATGCTTTCATACCCAGCTATACAGGCAACCCCTGAGAATTCAGGATCTAGCTGTTATATCAGTTCTCAAAATAAATAAAATTTTATTCACTGAACGCCAACTCTGCTGTAGAAGAAATTCTCGTAACACCAAAGGGACAACCCCTGGACCCTCCTCCTCAGCTCCCACACCCAACCACAGCACCTGTGCATTCTAAGATGTAACTATTTCTTCTCTGTGACCTTTCTCTGGTCTTCCTTTATGGAGCAGAATGAGATCAGGACTAACAAGGTCTCAAACACACAAGCATTCTAGCAACATCGTCCCATGGCCAGCAGCGTGTGGTCCTGCAAAATCACTTTGGCACAAAATCAGGGGCCAGAGGCTCCCTGGAGACAGAGCGCTGGTGTCTGGACAACCAACGTGGGCGCTGTCCAAATCCTCCCGTTAATGGCTTTCCCTTTTAGGAAAGAGGAGCCGGAACGTCTTCAGAGCCTGAAGCCATTTTTCTCCGTTCTTACAATTCGCTGCAGGGCGTTTCGTTTTCTAAAATGGAGACCGCCGGCTTCCAATTGTGCTTGCGAAGCCGCGGCATCCAGCCTGATGCAAGGACACACTCCCGCCCACTCCTGGCCGGACCCCCAGGAGGGCTGTTGGCAGGGCCGCCGCTCCTCCTTCCACTGGCGAGTTCCCTCCGCCAGACGCTTTGCATAATCAGACGGTAGGTGCTCTACATCATGAATAAATAAATTGAACCTGAACGCTCAGTGTGAAAGTGCCATAACATTTTAGCTCACTTTATTATAAAAACTAGAGGCCCGATGCACGAAATTCGTGCAAGAGTAGGCCTTCCTTCCCCCGGCTGCCGGCTTCCCTCTGGCACCCGGGACCCAGGCTTCCCTCGCAGCCCCGGCTTCATCCAGAAGGTCGTCCGAAAGGACGTCCGGTCTAATTAGCATATTACGCTTTTATTATTATAGATGAGAACGCATTCTCCTCATACTGCACTAAGTTTTGAATAAACTCTGCAAATATCCCACCAGAAGAGTCTGATCCCATTGACTTGTCAAAGGTAATACCAGCCATATGCGATGGGAAACTCGTTAACACGTCTTTGGTTCTGTAGTGATCGAGCTCATAAAAGCACTGAGCCACGGAGATGCACAGGATCAAGTCTCCGATCTACAGAAGCTTCCTCCTCATGAAAGAGAGGACAGTGGACCCAACGGACCGCACAGTGAGAAAGGTGGTGGGTACGATCACGTGAGTGGTTCTGATGACTCGGAGGCAGGCAGGCCGTTAACGGTAGAGACGGGCAGGTGGTGGGCCAGGTCATGGGCCTCAAAAGGAGGCTCCGTGAAGGAGCTGGGTGGTGTGTGGGGTGGAGAGGAGAGCTGAGGTGGAGGCCTGGACACGAGGCCCAGCAACCTGGAGCTCACTCAAATGGTACGAGGGAGCCCATGACAGTTCCTGGGACGGGAAGGAGCAGGATCTGATTTCAGGAAGACCCATCTGCTGGTGATAAACTGCAGCTAGTGCTGCCGGGTGCAAAGGCAATCGCCCAACAAGAGGCCAGTGCATTTAGTAACTAAAATACCCGAAGTGTTTGTCATCATGTTATCCTCACGGAGCCAAGGAAGGTTAAATAGTGCGATCCTTTTCCTCGTCTCCGGCCTATCATTCTCTCCTACACTAGTAGACGGTTCTTCGTGGATGCAGTTACTGAGTTGTCTGAATGCACCAAGTCCTCCTGAGATATATAAAAGAGTTTCTTACGTGCAAAGAATTTAAAAATCTCACTGGACAGACACTCATTACAATTAGAAAGGCGAACAGCGTCAGACAGGCCACCCCGCAGGGCCCTCATTTCTCTGGGCGTGCCACCCAATGACACCAGATAATCCTAGCGTCTAAATATCTATCGGATGTTTCTCCCTCACAAAAATCCTACGAGTTAATAATTATTTTCCCATCGAACAGAGCAAATTACTTAATTTCTGAGTTGGAGTTTGTTCCCAGCGATTTGCTCAAGATTACAGAGCTCGTAAATGGGAAAGCCGGGACTCAACCCAAGTCCTGTTCAGTATATTTTGAACCCTCACTTCTTTCCAGATGCTAAGACTATTGTGCGGGCATGGCAGGTGAAGCTGACGTCCATCAAATAATCCCATGAAGAAATGTTTAATTATGCCTGACTGGTGTGGCTCGGTGGTTGAGTGTCGACCTATGAACCAGGAGGTCACGGTTCGATTTCTGGTCGAGCACATGCCCGGGTTGCGGGCTTGATTCCCAGAGGGGGTTGCAGGAGGCAGCCGATCAACGATTCTCTCTCATCGTTGATGTTTCTATCTCTCTCTCCCTCTCTCTGAAATCAAAGCATATTTAAAAGGGAAAAAAAAAAAAGAACTTTCAAAAAAAAGGAAGAAATGTTAAATTTTAATTGTAACAAGAGCCACAGATGCGACCTTGGGTATGACCTTGGCCGGGACGGGGTGAGGGACAGTTCTTCCCTGAGGAGGTCTGATGCAATCTGAGATCTGAAGGGGGAATACCTGAGCTGCCTTGAGGAGAAGGGAGGGCGAAGGCATTGCAGGCAGCAGGCACAGAACAGCAGGGACGTGCGACAGGAGTGTGGCCGGGGGAGGCTGGGACGTGAGCCTAGCAAACTCAGACTCATCAGGTACAACGACCCTCTGTGCCCCTGCACAGTGCTTCACGGGCCACAGTAAAGTTCCGTCTTTATCCCAAACACACCGAGAGCTTGTTGCACTGCTGGGTGGGGTGTTTTCCTTGGGGTGAGGGCTAAGCCATACAGCCTCTGAGAGGAACCTTCCAGGGATGGGGATAAAGACGGATATTCCAGGGCATGCACTTCCAATGTTCTAGAAGAGACATCTACTGTCTATCTAAACACCCCCAAAGTGGGGATTTAAGCTGCAGATAAAACGGCACTGCAGACCTGGAGGTAAACTGAGGCACGGCTAAGATTACCTTGGAGGGCAGGGCACAGGAACACAGGCAACCCGAGGCAGTGGGGTGAGTGCACTGGGGATAAAGACGGATATTCCAGGGCATGCACTTCCATGTTCTAGAAGAGACATCTACTGTCTATCTAAACACTCCCCAAAGTGGGGATTTAAGCTGCAGATAAAATGGCACTGCAGTCCTGGAGGTAAACTGAGGCACGGCTAAGGTTACCTTGGAGGGCGGGGCACAGGAACGCAGGCAACCCGAGGCAGTGGGATGGTGCATGGGAAGAGGCCCGGGCATGAAAGTGGGGGGACCAGCTCCCGGACGAGAGGCACAGCAGGTGGCCCTTTTCACGCCCCGGCTCCCACCCACGAGCTGTGTGGCTCCGGATACATCACTCGTCTTCCTGGGACAATTTCCCAATTTGCTATAAGACCTACCCCACGGGGTTACTTCGAGAATAACGTGAACTATGATACCTAGTGCTGGGCCTGCACATAGTACATCCTCAGTAAGTGTAAGCCGCCACCATTATTATTGTAAAAGGTTAACATACGTGACACGCAGCGAAGGAAGGGAAACCGTGTGTCGGTATACATCTAGGACATGTTCTCACACGTGTATGCACATACGAATCTCCGGGAAAGTGTGTGAAAAATCTAGATTCCTGGCTTGGTAGCGGGCAGGCCGAGGAAGCTGGGTTTTTCCTCAGCCCCTAGGGATTCTGACACGGCTGACCCACGCTTCTGACTTTGAGAAATTTCAAGGCCTAGAACTTAAAATAAACATGCAGGCATCGAATGAAGGATTTCACTGCAGGGGCTCAACCACAGGGATAACTTTATGAAACAAATTTCAGGTTTTACTGTTGTTAAAGCAGAATGAGCAGCGCTCACTAGCAGAGCCTACTTCTAGGAGTGAACTGAACAACCAGAATCCGCGTGGCTGGTAGAAGACATAGCGGTTGGGTTTTAATAACCATCTTCATAGATTATTTAAAGCCGGCGTTCCAAGTGGCCCGGAAATGTCGCTGCACGCTGCCCTGGGAGGAGAAACTACATCAACACCTGGACAGCGGTTTACATGTTCTTTCATTATTAGATTTTGTTTTCTAGCAAAATGAATAGGGCCCACCTTCGATCGATCAGACAGAGAAAATTATTCTGTGCTAAGACACAACTAAACCTCTGAAGGTCTTTTCACTTCCCAGTGCGGGGCTCCTCAGCCTTGGCCCCGAAAGTGTGTGAAAAATCTAGATTCCTGGCTTGGTAGCAGGAAGGTCGAGGAAGCTGGGTTTTTCCTTGGCCCTATGTAACAATTGTAGGTTATTATTTGCAGGAACTATTTACACGAACACGTGACCTTCAAAAGAGAAAATCAAACAAGTGGCTGAGTTCAGGGGAGGTGAAATCGCGGGCCTAAGGCACTCCTATCCCGTGAAGAGTGCCCGTGAAGAGTACAAACTGAAGGTATTATGTATGCCTTCGGCTCAAGGCACCATGACACAACCCAATCCTGGGGCTCTGGCTTCCTCCGAGAGTAGGAAACGCCGCTCGGGCTCTTCAAAATAATAAACAATGCACATTCCTGTCTTATTTGCAAAAATCAGCAGCAGCAGCTGCTACTCACACAGAATTGTTAACAGAAAACATTTTACATACGGAGCCCAAACATTTCAGAACTTGCAGAGTCTGGCGCCAAATGAAGTGCTAGGCCTCTTTAAATTTAAAATAAGGCCTGACAATTCACTTCTACATTCTTTCATCCAATTAAAAAAAAAAAAAAAAAAGACTAAAGCATTTTCCTGGGACTTGGAGGGAACAGCTGGACACATCTGTCAGCTACACATCTTTGGAGCGAAAGGAAAGCAATGCGTGAACGCCATACTCACATGTGAGGGCTCAGCTCATAGAAGTTTCTGTTCCTGTAATCTTCCACTTTCTCCGGTGAATAGATAGGCAGTGACCGGTACGGGTTAACGGAGATGACCACACTCCCAATGTATGTCTGTGAAAGGAAGCGGACATACACCCTTTAGCACGTACACAGCATGTATTTTAACCTCTGAAATTTTATCCTATAAAAAAAGAACAAAACACTAGTTCTACTTGACCATCCATTTTCTATTTTTCAAGAATATGTTACATTTCTGTAGACAGAGTCAATAATGCGTATTCATTTTGCTGATACATGGAAAGCGTGGATTAATACATGGAAAATACTTTTCAAAATCTCTAGATTAATTCAGGATCCTGGCTCAGAGCCCTCCGAAGCTCTTGCCAAAAATTAAGTCACCGACCGCTGTGAAGTGTGGGCAAGGGCTGTGCATTCCCCGATTCCAGTTAGAACTGGTGTTTCCCTCTCTCCTCTCTGGCCTCCTGTTTCTGTCTTTAGTAAGCAGGTCTCTCCCCCAACCCCCCACCCACAGCCATTCCTACCAACAGGGCCTGGTTGGCACTGCCCTTACCCAAGCCTGTCCATCTCTGCAATGGGCTCAGGCCAGTTATCCCTCAGGCAGCAGACAGTTTTATCTGATACCTAACATGCTGCAACACCAGAATTTACTTTCCGAAGGACAGTTAGATTAATTCAGGATCCTGGCTCAGAGCCCTCCGAAGCCCTTGCCAAAAATTAAGTCACCGACCGCTGTGAAGTGTGGGCAAGGGCTGTGCATTCCCCGATTCCAGTTAGAACTGGTGTTTCCCTCTCTCCTCTCTGGCCTCCTGTTTCTGTCTTTAGTAAGCAGGTCTCTCCCCCAACCCCCCACCCACAGCCATTCCTACCAACAGGGCCTGGTTGGCACTGCCCTTACCCAAGCCTGTCCATCTCTGCAATGGGCTCAGGCCAGTTATCCCTCAGGCAGCAGACAGTTTTATCTGATACCTAACATGCTGCAACACCAGAATTTACTTTCCGAAGGACAGTACATTTAATGTCCAATTTAAATTCAGCCCGGCCAGCGTGGCTCAGTGGTTGAGCGTCGGCCCATGAACCAGGAGGTCACGGTTCGATTCCCAGTCAGGGAAGAGGCCCAGGTTGTGGGCTTGATCCCCAGTAGGCGGCGTGCAGGAGGCTGCCAATCAATGATTCTCTCTCATCATGGATGTTTCTCTCTCTCCCTCTTCCTTCCTCTCTGAAATCAATAAAAATATATTAATTTTTTTTAAATAAAAAAGAATAGACAAGACTGCTGCTGTGAAAAAAAAACTCCCAGTTCCCATGCAATGTTTCCCATTTATTTCTGGCAATCTGTCACGGGGACCCAATCAATCTGGCCTGACCAGAAATGACTCAAAAAAAAGACTCCAACTTTCCTAATTTATTCTATTTAGACGAGACTGTTTCCAGGTTTCTTCACTCTCCAACCGACCTGGGCAAGCAGAAGGGAGACACTGGAAACTGAGTGAGCGGCTTCTAACTGATTCACTGCCCCGAGTGACACTGGTAGACAGGGAAACAATGGTCAGCCATTCCTTTAATATCTGCTGATTGAGAGGTCAGCCTTCCTTAGTAGCAAAAGGACACGGATTTACCTTTTTAGGTAGTTTCTGTGAGAAGGCTAAAAAGGGCTAATTCAAATGTAACCCTGATATTTTGGGGGCTAGCAACTGGAACTCACGCCAGCAAGCTCCGCGTGCATTCCTGATGACCTATAATTAAGGTCACTGCCTCCTTCCCAGAAACTGGTCTTGCAAGGCGTGTCACTGCCCTGGGGGAGGGGGGAAGGTCGTTATCGAACACCTGGGGGCCTTCCCGTAAGCCCACCAAAGGGGGCGGAACCATGTCTGCAAGACAAAGACCCCAGTCGATTATAAAAAGCGAAGCCACTATGTTAATAAATGGGTCCCTCCCGCCTCTAGGAAGCGTGCTGGGTATGTCCTTGCTCTTCTGTAACACTTGAATACAGGAATCAACATATATGTTTGCTGTTAGCAGAACAAACAGCCTTGAGGTTGCCCCTGAACACCGAACGCCAGCCTGGCTAACTGCCCGGTCGGAACCTGCCGGGCTGGCTCTCCTGCGGGGACAACCGCGGCTCAGCCCAGCGCCAGAGGCCACACGGCCAAGGTGCGTGTCCCCTTCGCTGCCTGTGACTTCTACGCTCACGGAATTGCGTGCTGCCCAGCCACTGCCCTGTCCCCTAGAACAGGCTGGCCCGCTCACGAGGCCCCGTACATATTTGTTCACCGAGTGACTGGCTCGCACCGGGCGCCTCCATCCCTCACAAAGCAGACGGTACAGACCAGGGACGCCCTACAATCATTCTTCTGCTGAAACACGGTACCGAGCACACTGACTCTGGTGCCCGATGTTATTCAACCGGCCTGCTGGGCTGCCCCTGAACAAAGCCTTAAGCGATATGCTCTCGCCTCGGGTCTGGGTCCTGCTGGGAAAGTGAGTTCGCAAAGAGGCTGGGACAGACCTACCCACCCAGCAGGCAAGCCCCCTGGGACCGGGCTGCACGCTTCCCTTCAAGAGGCGGGCAGGTTCCTTTCCCCACCCCTCCCACCTGCACTGGTCTACGCGGCTGGGTGTGACCAAAGGGACCTTAGAAGAGAAGACAAAAGCAGAGGCTTGAAAAGTGTTTGTGCAGCAGGATGCCCTCCGTTGTTATGACTGTAGCTGGGAGCCACGATGGGAAGGAGCTTGTGCGACCCTGTTGGCGATGTGCTGTCGAAAGCCGAGGCGCCCTGGACTGCAGGGCCTGACAACCCTCAGACACAGGAGGCCCAGGCTGTTCTAAGCACCGCACCCCAACCCCACTCCACCCCAACCCCCCGGCCCCAGGCAGAGGCCTGCAGCCACAGGCGTGATCCCGGCTGATCTCAGCCTCAGCTGCTATCCCAATGAATGGTTGTTGTTTTAAGCCATTAATTTCTGGAGGGTGGTTTGTCACACGGCAACAGTAACTGATACACCAACACAGCTCCACGAGTAGAGAAAGGGCCCAGGCAGCACAAACGTTCTCAGTCGAAATACGCAAACAGTAAAAGAACCTGGGCCATCTCTACAGGCCACTGTTTCCGATGTGTGTCCTCTGATCCTGAACTCCCTGTAGGCCTGTCCTCCACGCTGACACCTGCCCTTGCTCTGTGTGCGTTTCCTCCTTGAAGGTCCTGTGGACGAAAGGGGCCACATGCTGACCTGACAAGCTCAGGAGAGGCCTGCATGGCAGTCTTGCAGAC